GGATATGGGTGGTGGTAGTTGGGACAAAGAGACAGTCAGACGTGCACTGCGAGCTGCCTATAACAATCCTGAGCGAGCAGTGGATTATTTGTATTCTGTATGCTCTGATTCACTTTCCTATTCTGCACTTCATCTTAGAGGTTAGCCATGGGCTCTGATTTATTTATTTTTTTGTCTTTAATCAGGGGATCCCAGAAAGTGCGGAAGTTGCGCTGCCAGTGGCTCAGACTGCATTGGATTCTGTTGCTGCAACTGGTGCAGCCCCTGCTGCACCTGTTTCAGCAGGACCAAATTCATCTCCATTGAATTTGTTTCCTCAGGTTTGTCATGATGTTATGGTTGCTTGTATAACATGTATTTCATCTTTTCCATGTGTCATATTTTCTGTGGTTAAAACTTTCCAGGAGGCCCTTTCTGGTACCGATGCTGCTGGTCTTGGATCTCTTGATTTCCTAAGAAACAACCAACAGGTGGGATTCTGATTATGTTTTGTATATCATTTCGATCAACTAAAATCATTCCCTCAGATCTTGTGTCAAAGCTTTGCATTTGACTGAAATTCTTGCCACCATGTGTTATCGGTTCTTTCCTTAATTTCAATTCAATTATCTTATTTTTGTCTTCTCTTGTGTATTCAAATATTATCTTAATTAATTGCTATAGGTCCTTGTAATCATTGGGTGTTGGGAAGTTTTTCTAATCAAGTTTCTTATTTGGCTTCAGTTCCAGGCATTGCGTTCAATGGTTCAAGCTAATCCACAAATTTTACAGGTTATTCAATATTATTCTGCCTTTTTGGGTACATTTTATTAATTATTTATGTTAAAGCTATAATATAGTTCTTCTCCTACAGCCCATGCTTCAGGAGCTTGGAAAGCAAAATCCTCAACTTTTGAGACTAATACAAGAGCACCATCAAGAATTCCTTCAATTGATTAATGAACCTGTCGATGGTTCTGAAGAGTGAGTGTTTATACTTGTAGAAAATCTAATATGATACAATGCAAATATGCTGCATATTGTTTAAAGCTTGCTTTTTACAATCATTTAATATTTCTCAGCAAGTTTGCACCATGTTGTCTTTGACTCTTTCTAGATATCTTTTTTTGCCATTGGCTTTGAACACTTGCTCTACAATATAGTTATTTTTGTAATAGAATATTGTCTTGGAGTTTAGAGCTAGTTAACTCTTTTTAGAGCTATCTTCAAGGTACACCTCATCTTATGCATGATAAAGAGTATCTTTAAATTTAGAGAGTAAATCTTTTTATGCACTCCAACAAACTTTCTATTTTTACTATTTTGTTTTTTTCCAGTGAACATTTAATAATTTCTCCTCGTATCTTATTTAACATAATTTTTTTACATATTAATGGCCAATCAATTCAAATGTAATTTTAATAATTTAAATTGTACAGTATTGAAATTTATAATGTATTAAATACAATCATTAAACATTAAGAATAGAGAGTGAGTTTAATTTAGAGAGCCAAATCCACTCCCTATTTTAAAAAGTTAAAATAGAGTCTCTTGGAGCTCATTTTTAAACATTGACTTTCAAAAATAGAAAGCATTTTGTGTTTAGAGAATGTTCTTACAGGCATGTTACTCTATATCTTGTTCGTGTATCCAATTACTAGTACAAGTTAAGTGTGCAACTAGGTGTGTTTCTTCTGGACCTCATTTGACCAGATCATGGGTTGTTTGGTACAGGGATATGTTTGACGAGCCTGAACAAGACATGCCACATGCTGTTAGTGTCACACCAGCAGAGCAGGAAGCCATCGAGCGAGTATGAGAAAAAAAAAAAACCTCGCCTTTACTTCTCTCACTTTTTTGTGTCCTATTCTAATGGTTTCTTCAATATTTTCAGATGGAGGCTATGGGTTTCGATAGAGCACTTGTTATTGAGGCGTTTTTAGCTTGTGACCGCAATGAAGAATTGGCAGTGAACTATCTGTTGGAGAATGCTGGAGATTTTGAGGATTGAGTGACAGAAAAACCTTAAATTATATTCTTTATTTCGCACAGGACTAACTCGGGTTTTTATAAAAGCTGTTTTGCTTCAACTGTGGATCACATTGATCCCTTTCAAGGATGATCAACTTTCGTTTGACTGTTAACCACCAGAAAATATTTGATAAAAAAGGTGTGGAAAAGTGTGAAGATTTTTGTGAGAACTTTTGAAAGATTAGTTTATTGATCTCCCTGCTGTAGTGCTTTGTTTTTATTTTGTATCGAGGAACGGTGCTGTTTGGTACAAGTTGTGAATTAATGTTTTGTTCAAGGAAGAAATGTTTTATTATGACTGGTTCTTGTGCAGTATTCTAAAAAGCTCGCTTAGGCAGTGTCTAGACACCGTTTAGGCTCGAAACTCTGATAAAATACCTTGCTTTAGCCTATGCATTCTTTTTTCCATTCTTAAACACTTGAATTTTTTTCCTTATCATCTTTGTGCTTTATTAGTTTTTTTTTTTTATAAGTCTTTTATTTCACTTTATTTTATTAATTTCTTTTTATGTTTTTAAAAAAAATTATTTGACTTTAATTTCAACTTCTTAAAAGATTTTATTAGCCCCCGTTTGACACCCATTGTTTTTCCATTCTCTTTCTCATTTTTTTCTCTTTCTTCATTTCAATCACACATTTTATCAATAAAATAATATTACACATAAGCCCAAAATTTTTTCTTATTTTTCAACCACACATTCTTCCCATCAATCACTATTCCAAAATTTATTCTTCACCAAAATGGGTGTCAAACACACCCTTAGTACAAAAGTTTAAAATGACTTTATCTAAATAGTTAAATAAGATTTAAGTTATGAAGTTATCTTGATTATGATCTTGATATTCGTTATTTTGTTGTAAACTATTAAAGCACGTATGAAGGTCCTATAAATTTATTAAGTATGATTTGTTTAGTTGAAAATTACAACTATGAAAATTTGAACTTTTGCATTTCGAAATTAATTGTAGGAATTATTAAGTAAATATAATATTTTATTTTAAATATTTGATATGCATTATTTTAATTATTAAAATTTTAAAATGATTTAAAATTTAAAANAAATTTAAAATAATATTAAAAATAAGAAAATGTTTTTTTTTTAAATTTTATTTTACTTCTAATTCTCGCCTAGGCTCAATTGAGCTCATAAAATTTAAAGTTTCATCTTAGCGTTTAGCTACGTTTTATACTTTTTAGAACACTAGTACAGTGAATTGCCTATATGATGATTTCTTCATGATTTCTTTTTGGAGTGAAAATGAACAAAATACTCCAATACCTGTCCGTTGGGAAGTCGGGGGGCGGGGCATCCCAAATTTTGTTTTTCATGTTTCCTATGCATATTAATTATTTAATTTTTATGTTTTTATTTAAATTCTAAAAAATAAATTAGTAAATGGAGTGGTAATTGAGAAAAAAATATATTATCGTGCTGCTACCAGAAAAATTCTAGTGGGATGGCCGCTCCGACCCATTAGAAGTGGGGGAAGCCTATTCAGTCATGGCAGATTGATCGTTGTCCTTCACCACTTGGACGTTGTCCTTTACTGAAACATGTTCGTCCATCACACTTTCAAATGATAGCTTTCATGTAGATGTCATGGATTCCATCACTGCCATGCAAAGATCATATTGATCACCTTGCTGTTGCAATGGGAAAATAAGTAGAGAGCAACTAATATTCTACTCTCGGTACGATTGTACGAGTGGAGGTGCTGATGAGTTGTTGCTGGCATGAGGATTAAGTATCCCAAACCTAAAGGTTTTGAAAGGATTCAGAACTTAGTCCTCGGATCAAATTAATCCTGACCATTCATTTGGGTTGAATTTGTCTACAAATAGCATAGAGTGCAACTTCTCTCTCTTAAAAGATAAGGCAATTCTTCAAACTCGTGTTTATTCTCGTTCTTCTATTTTTTGTCCATATTTCCTCAAGTTCAAGTGCGGTAAATTTAACCTCAAAGTTAAATTCGAGGGTTTTAAAAAATTGAATTAACGTGTTTTTGTAAGAGGTATGAATTTCAAAATGTTAAGATCGTGTGGTGCTAAACATAAATTTCTTGGCACAAGATGGTTGCCGGGACAGTGATTAGATTAGAATTTTATTTTTGGTAAAATTACATCTAAGGTCACTGAACTTTGAGAAAAATTTCAATTAGGTTGCTAGAAGTTTAACTTCTCACAATTGGGTCTCTGAACTTTTAGCAAAATTTTATTAAATTTTAATTTATCTCAATTGGGTCATTTAATTTTAATTTTAATTTAATGTCAGTTAGTCTAAAATTTCATCAATGACGATCTTTCAAAATGTTGAGAGTTGTTTATTGAAAGTTGTATTACAATGAATATACGTAATCACTTTGTCACATGTCAATTTACCACAATTACACAACGTAACATATGAAAAATGTCAAAAAATTTAGAGCAACGATCACATCTACCATTTTGTTTATAAAGTACCACGTAGCAATTAGATGGATCTAAGTTATGTCTGCCAAGGGAGTGGCAAAAAGTGACATAACGTGTCCAATTTAGCGATCCAAATGAAATTTTGCTGAAAGTTCCAATTTATCAATCTATTTTTGTATTTCACTGAATCCTATATTATTCTGGATTGCAAACGCACGAATTGGAGATAAATTGCTCATTTGAAATCAAAAAATCTAAAATCCAAAAATGGAATTTTTTAACTTGATCTTCAAATCCTAAACATTTTCAAATGCATACACACAAGTCCCATTATCTTTCAATCTACAGCAGCAAAAAGGTAATTAGGTAGACACAAGCTTTTATAAAATCAACTTAACACAAACCAGCTTGAATTCATTTAGAAATTGGATACAATAAGCATACATTGATACATCTTTCGTTTGCAGTCACGGCCAACAGAAAAGTAGTACAACCAATTTATACATCAGAATACGTTGAGTTTAGAACTGAAACATGGAAACACTAACAGAAATCCACTCGTATTAATCACCTGGTACGATTAGAACTCCCTGTCGGGGAAGATAATTGATGCGACCAGGGACCAGAGAAACAAAGCAGCAGTTGCCCACCCGGTTACTATTCGAACCCAAACAGATGGCCACCCAACATCCACTAACTTCCCGCTCTCCCCAACTGAAGTTGACCAACCTGTAAGGAGCATTGCGGAATACATACTAGCTAAGGAGAAGATCAAGTGGAAGAAGGAATATGAATATGTAACTGGTTTTGACTTTTCTTTCTCATTGTGCTCCTGCTCGGCCGCTGCCTTGTCCAGTGGTAACAAAGGCCTCCCAGCTCCTTGAGAAAAAGAAACTATTAAGTCAAATAGGATTTAGCAAGAAATGTTGATTGTGTAGAAACGAATTAGAATTCGAAGCATCAAATTTGCAAGCCTGTACTTCAAACCTTCTTGCAGTAAAAAAGACCAAATTAAGGCCCTTTGTAACCCATTTTCTAGAACTAATTTTTCCTTGAACTCATTTGCAACCGTACATTTTCCCAATAAATAATTTTGCACGTGAACCCATAACTTTTATGTACTTTTTAACTAATAATTCTCTAAAAATATTACTTTTCACAAAATCTATACTCATAAATCTCTAACAAACAGGGCAAGTTAAAATGTCAAGACAGACAAACGAATTTCTTCATTTAAGAACAAGAAACATCTATCACGGATATGATTTAAGCACTTCGCTCTATGGATGTTAAATTCAAAAACAAGAAGATTTGTGTAGCGTGAAAAACTCACCTGCTCGGGGTGAACTTGGAGGGGAAAGCAGAGTTGTAGAAGATCCAGCACGAACAGCAGAGTAAACAACAGAAAGCACGGTTGTAAGGAGCCCAACTGTAAGAGTGCCCGAGGAAACTGCTTTCGAATGCTTGTGAAGACCATTGCATTCGTAATCCCTAGGTTCACTGGCGAGCCCACTATAGCAAAGGTACATGCAATACAAAGATATAACCGAAGCTGGTAAAATGCTTCCACCAACCTGCGTCAGGACAACGTAAATTATGAATGCTACAATCAGCATACATCTTGTTACACAAAAGAGAGTGTTGACTATGTCTACAAGAAGCTTCATGCATCATTAATTTGATGAGATCAATATAACGAACATTACAAAGACACAAAAAATTAGATAACTAACACAAAACAATATCCAAACATGAAACTGATGAATTAATATCAGAGACGTAAAAACACCAAGTTTTGAAAAGTCGAATCTTCAAATTTTTCTAGCTTTGTGGCTATGAATAAAAAACACATTCCAAGTACACTGGAGAATTTGTCCATCAGCTTTAGCTATCACACTAAGGAGATGCAGGCCAAAGGTATCAGCCAAAAAAAAGAAGAAGCAATTTACTCAAGTATTATAGAATGCTGAGTTTTTAAATTGTGAATGAAAGCATTTATCAAAGTATTTTCATGTCCACATCCCAAGTTCCTAAGGATCCAAATTGATAAAAAGATGCAAAGATCATGGTCTCAAAGAGTATTGGTGAAGCAACCTAGAATTAAGGAACAGGTGAAAGCTAATCTGATGTAAAAGTGAATCCACATACAAACAATTGCAGTAAATTCATTTTCGCTGAAATCTAAGGACCTCTATCAAATTTTATAAATTATGGCTTCAGCTTTTTACCAGTTTACTCAAAGTGATCGTTAAATGGCAGCAGTCTGAAAACTATCCATGTACAACTACCCTTCTCTGACACAAAAGAGAGCTTATCTTCTACAATTTTCATATTAAATTTGCTCTTAAGGCATCAATGAGACAACAACCTGCAAAATGAAGCAACTAATGTCGTTTGGCCACAGGAGGACAAAATGTTCTAATGAAGTAATGAAATGTCATTTTCCCTCACAAGGTTTCTGATACTTTGTAACAATGTTCATATAGTACTTGAATACCAGAGAATCTAGTGCACCTATACAATGAAACACATAATGCATAGATAATGGTGCACATCTGCACACCTGTACTCGGAACTGAAAGTAACCAACATATACAATAAAGATAAGACTCAAAGTCTTCACTTATAATATAAGTCGTGTGTATGACATACCAAAAAACATAAATAAACTACGAATCAATCAGACACTCAACCTTTACTGCATGCATGACAAAAAACTAAAGCTACAAAACTCATTCATTTACATCACTATCCATAATTCACATTGTCTAAAATTTTACGCTATTAGAGAAGAATGTTGATTATAAGGGTTGATTGCCTGTGGCAGGTAGCACTACGCGGATAGAATTGCAATTTAATTATCTTCATGAATTATACTTTTTAAGGTAAGAACAGCATTATAAACAAGAAAGACGTTATAAATTTGACAAAGACAAACAGAGAAGATGTCTATTATTTCATTAAAAGATAGTGGAAGATAAGAAACTCACTGATGGGTGCAGTGTGACTATAGCAAACAAAACCACAGTTATCAATGTCATCACAATGAAGAATGTATTAAGTCCACAATCCTGTCCAGATGGTACAAACAGATAGAAGAGAAGTCCCGAAAATGAAAAGGTTGCCACATAGCATACAAGTGAAACAACAAGCAATGCCATGTACCTGCAGAGAGAGAGAGAGAGAGAGAGAGAGAGAGAGAGATTAATGTCTAATGAAGAAAAAATCTCTTTTCTTCTAAGACGAGTAACAACCTAGAAGTAATATGACAAGCTCAAGCAAAACAACAACTCACCAAAACTGCTCATCATATCCAACCCATTTGTCATTCCACCCATGAACAAAATCCAGCAAAAGCACCACCTGAACAAGAAGGAAAAGTCCTGAACCAAACTTTGATGATGCCTCTGCATTTACAAACCAAAAATGAAGATCATATTGTTATTGAAAGAAGAAACAAAAACAGGATGTCCTCATGGAAGGATAAACAGCAATGTGTTGCGCAGATAGGCTACGTAAAAATAAGAAGAAAAATTTCTTGGAATGCCACATTTATCTAAAGAGTGCAAGGAGTTCAACATGGGCATTTTTTCCACAGGTGATGTAAAAAGTGATAAGTTCAAGTCAAATTTACTTACAAACAAATGCCCCAATTACATTCCAAAGCAAACAATGAAGTTATGTCATAAAACACAGCATTCATTACAAGAAATCACATCCTCCTAAAGATGTACTTGCAAGTATTAAAGACAAGTGTTTGTGAAAGCTTGTCTTAGTGGGATTGGAGGGGAAGTAAAAGCAGAAAATGCTTGGCCCCCTTTCATCCACATATTGTTAACCCTTCTGTATTTTTCTTTGGGCAGGGAGTGTGAGTGAGGGTGTGGATGTGGATGTGGGTGGAAGGGGGCTTTTCTGTTATTTGCATCACAAGGAATATATACTTCCTCTAGAGCCTACAGTAACACCTTTAGCTCCCTTGCCGTCCACTTCTTGGATCTACTTGGGAAAAAATAAAAAATAAAAATAAAAATAAACATAACCTCAATTTGCAGTTTTTTCTAACTTTTCTTTCTTAAGCAAATATGTTAAGTCAAAGCAATAATATCTGTGCTCAGTGAAATCTGATTCAAGGAAGGGAAGGGGAAAGATTACCCACTTCCAGAAACAGAAGCGTAAACTCTTTAACAAATGAAAGATACCATTGTTTGGTATACTAGAAATGTCAGGGGAAGTAGAGATTAATATAAAAAAATTAACGCGAAAAATAGACAGAGTATTTATTTTGTACTTTACCAATTTAAAAATCATCTGAATACTCAAATTCAAATTGAGTCTGACTTAGTCTTTTCAGCTTTGACCTCAACCGCTCTAACAATTTGAAAAGGAAAAAACTTCTACATCCACTTTCTCATCTTATCCTTACCAAACAAAAAGGGTCCTTTACTTCCATAGATCCATTTTCACTAAACCCCCTTCCCTCTCACATTTTCTCCAATGAAATGTAGCTACTAAAGAATAGAACCATGCAAAAGCAGATGAAACCAAAAGTTAAAATATAGATCCCTCTTCGCAAATGATTCGATCTCCAATTTCAAACAAATAAAACCTTTCACTATTCCAGTCATGAGTAAAGCTCAATCAAAACTAATGTTATGTTTTTTAGGTGCAAACTCTTCAACATCTCAACCCTATAAAATGATGAGTGAATAGCAGTTGTCTCAATCTATATTAAATGTGCAAAATGCAGAATACTTAGAATTGATTCATATTTTATAATTTTCCAAACTGAGAACAAAATGGGAAAGGGGAAAAAAAAGGAATACAATAAACAAAGGAAATACTGAATTCACTGTGAAAATCTCAGAATCATATGCTTACCATAGAAGCTGATGATCTCATTCGGAATAAAGAACATTAGTATTACCAAAATGCACCAACAAATAACTTTCATCATCCACCCTCCATGGTGCATATTATCCCGAGGATCCTTTTGGTTCTTCACACCAATCATAAAAATAGCCAAGATCGTGAAAAATAGGAAGTTTCCCAAGCTAACACGTAGCACAGCATCTGTTTCAAACCACTCTCTATCTGGTGTTTTGTGAAAATGATTGATCCCTGCATACAGAAAGGTATCAAATTCACACCCATCTATCCAGACTAAATATCAAAAAGATAATTGATTATGCGGAATATTCCCCTTTTTAACTAGGAGTTAAAAAATAATAATAATAATAAATAAATAAATGGAAGCTTTTGATCTTGTAAACAGCCAATTACCGTCCAACTCACAACATGAGTACTTTAAGTTTCTAAAGTCAAATCTAAACCACCCAAGGAGCTGATCTAAATGAGGTAAAAAAGCTTAGTAGAAGCAAATGAATGTGCAACGATATAATGCTACTAATATACACAGATATCCAACCACATTAAGACACCATTCCAGTTACGATTTAATAATAATAATAATAATAATAATAATAATCAAATATCATTCTTCTCGGGCGGAATCATTTTTATTCAGCAACCAATAAACCCCAAACCAGTTTAATCCAATTAAATTTCTATTATCATAATAAATTCTCCACAACAGTGGCATAAAGTCAGACAATTCCGTCAAAACATAATTATTAGGCATTAGACTACAAACAATACTCCCCTAAAAAAGCAATACATCTACCACGTCTCAAATTTTTTTTTTTAATAGGTGAAATAACGGAACAGAGAAGAAAAGAAAACTTACACGGAATCTTCTCCATCAGGGGTGCGGCAACCTCTCGAAGTATCCAGGAGACTATCAGCGAAAGTGAGAAAAGACCGCAATACGCAATCCTAGCCGACTGTCGGCTGATCCCTGACACTACCGTGCGGCATGCGTCGCACGCGCAAGCCGCACAGCAAGACGCTAGACATGAAGCTGCCCACATCTTCTATACAAACAATGATCAAATTAGCCTCGAAATAAAATCTAAAAACCTAGAATCGAATAATTCAAACAATCGGATTAAATATCAAACATAAACCTTAATTTGAAAAGCTCAAAGCCCTAGAGTGCATATATACCACTAATCTCAAATATATAATCTATATAATTGAATTGAAACAATTATTGAAGAATTCACAAGTGTACCTTGATATGAATTAGAGGAAAGAGAATATCAAACCGCGTAGAATTGCTTGACGACTTGGACTAGGTGATCAAATTATACTTTTGGAGGAAGATTTTGTAAATTGCAATATGACCTCGTCTATTTGGACCCGAATATGGATGGCAATTGTTCATTTCGGTCAAAATCATAATCGCATCACCAAATTTTAGTCATACCGTAACTGCACCATAACCATGAAAGTAGGTTCGGTTCGGCTCGATTCGATTCGTATACGTGACACCCCGAACTTAAGCTTCGAATGTCACATACTAAACTTAATAATTTCAGCCTTTGTTATCTTTGTTACATGTAAAAACTCTTAAATAAAATGTAATGCATACCGAAAACCTATTTTTAATTTATAGTAAAATACCTCTCTAAAGTTTAATGGCCAGCAGGAGTGCATGCCGACTTGAAATTATTCTATACATATGCGGAATTGGTGCTGTCATGGCTAGTTTGGGCAATCGGTTCGAACATTTTTATAAAATTCACCCCAACTCCATTTTCTATGAAATTTGTGGCATTTGAAAGATATTTCTCATTAGTTTCTCAGGTTAAAATATGGAGAATTTTCAAGATTATATGATATGGACGTTTTATTTAAAACAGTGAGGTACTGCACAGAAATTTTAGATTGACCTTTCGACACTTAAAAATTTATATCTCCGGCTACAGACATCCAAATTGAGTGATTCTTGTGCTCATATTAAGACAACTCAAAGAGGAATGTGGGAGTATTTTTAGAGTTCGTAATTGCATTTTGAACTGACCTTAAAAACCTGTTCAGTTTCTGCCTCCTTTACCGTCATAGGAAAAAGGTCTATAAGCACGCCTCTTAGCGTAACATGAAAAATATGATGACAAACATACTTTCAGTACCATATTACATCATCTCTTATACCTGATTATATATAATATTACACGAAACACATATGGAAAACAGTACTTGAACGAAACATACGAAAAGGAAGTTTCGATACAAAATAACTTTATCCCATCATCAAGTAGGCCGACTAACTTCCACCAACTCAACTCAACGATCAAGAATCTGAAAATTTAGTATAAATACTATGAGTATAAAGAATACTCAGTAAGATACCATACTCGGATTTAACATGTTAATACTATACAAAAGAAAG